CAAGTAAACATCCACCAGCCAAACAAAGCGGCCAGCTCGTTGCCGGTGAAGACCTTCCAACGGCCACTGAGGAAGAAAGGAGAAAAGATTAGAGGTTTCACCAGGTTACAGGTCAAATCACAAGCACCTCAAAAGATTTTGGGTTAAAACACATTTAGGGTTGGAGAAGACGACTAAAATACCAATAGGCTTTAAACCAGAGTTATTTTTTGTTAGGAATAACAGGAGCGAATTATGAGAAAGATTGCAGGTATCTAATACTACATGTATTAACGGCAGCAAGAATGGTATTTGCCCAACGTTGGAAAAATGAAAACTTACCAACTGAAGAAGTACTAATGAAGAAAATCCTAGAATGTGCAGAAAGGGACAGATTGACTTTAAAGATTAAAGAGAAAGAAGACTCCGTGTACTTTAGAACATGGGATAATTTCTATCAAGGGCTAGAAAGACGAGTCAGAGAGAAAGGAACGTGATATGTAATTTTGAATGTATATATTAGCAAGAAGGCGGCTATTGAGCGATGAATTAATATATTGTCTATGATAATTAACTATATCTATTATTGTTAGTTAAATACACGTACCCAGACATTGTGCTGTTTGCTAAATATTGGAAATGTTATTTGGAAAAACCCCAACCCCTACCCTAGATCAGGGGTAGGCAACCTTGGCTCTTTTATGACTCGTGGACTTCAATTCCCAGAATTCCTGAGCCAGCCATGCTGAGGGGAAAGGGAGAGGTTTCCAAGCTGAGCCGTGCTGGCTCAGGAATTCTGGGAGTTGAAGTCCACGAATCATGAAGGGGCCAAAGTTTCCCCCATACTGGCTCAGGAATTCTGGGAGTTGAAGTCCACGAGTCATGAAGGGGCCATAGTTCCCCCACGCTGGCTCAGGAATTCTGGGAGTTGAAGTCCACGAGTCATGAAGGGGCCATAGTTCCCCCACGCTGGCTCTCCTTAAGACCCTCAACTTCAGGTGCTCAGTACTTCCCCGGTATCAAGGGGGTGCGACCGAGTCCTTAAGACCCTCAACTTCAGGTGTTCAGTACAAGGGGGCCATAGTTCCCCCATGCTGGCTCAGGAATTCTGGGAGTTGAAGTCCACCAGTCATGAAGGGGCCATAGTTCCCTCATGCTGGCTCAGGGATTCTGGGAGTTGAAGTCCACGAGTCATGAAGGGGCCATAGTTCCCCCATGCTGGCTCAGGAATTCTGGGAGTTGAAGTCCACGAGTCATAAAAGAGCCAAGGTTGCCTACCCCTGACCTAACCCAAATCCCAACCCTAATCCTGACCCCACCTTATCCCTAACCCTATAAAAACAAATAAAATCTATACAAAAAAACCCAAAAAACACCACAGGCACCTCCAGCCACTCACTTCTCCTGTCGTTCGGCCACCGCTAGCCTGTCTGCATCAGGATCCGTAGCCACGACCACTCGCGCTCCCTCTTTCTCCGCCAGCCGCAAAGAGAGATCCTGGAAGGATACCCACACAAAAGAGCCAATCGGAGCGTTGATCCCAGCTGATCTACTCGGAGAAGACAACACCCCCCCCCACACACACACACTTCCTGTAGCCCACAGAAGCGCCACGAAGGCAAAAACCTACCAGCACCGATTCTCCTTCTTCGGGATTGGGACATTTGACCGTGGAAAAATCTGGATCCGGATCTTTTTGTTCGGGGACTGGAATGGGGGGCTGGAAGCCAAAGGCCTGGAAAGCCAGCTGCACGAAGTCGTGTCCCACCCCGTGGAAAGAGCTGTGCACAAATTTCAAGGGGGTCTTTGCGTTCAGCTCTCTGTCATGGGAAAAAAACGGCAGAAAAGAAAGCATGAAAGGGCAGCTGGTGCCATCCAGAGGGGAGAGACTGCGTGGAACGGCAGCAGAGGAGCACATAGATAATATAATATAATATAATATAATATAATATAATATAATATAATATAATATAATATAATATAATATAATTAATATAATATAATATAATATAATATAATATAATATAATATAATATAATATAATATAATATAATATAATATAATATAATATAATAATATAATATAATATAATATAATAAATATAATATAATATAATAATATAATAAATATAATATAATATAATATAATATAATATAATATAATAATATAATAATATAATATAATATAATATAATATAATATAATATAATTAATATAATATAATATAATATAATATAATATAATATAATATAATATAATATAATATAATATAATATAATATAATATAATATAATATAATATAATATAATAATATAATATAATAATAGACCGGTACGCTCCCACAGAGCGGGCCTCCTCAGGGTGCCGTCGGCCAAGCAATGTAGGCTGGCGACCCCCAGGGGGAGGGCCTTCTCTGTGGGTGCCCCCACCCTCTGGAATGAACTACCCCCCGAGATCCGGATGATTCCGGATCTCCTTACTTTCCGCCGCGCCCTCAAGACATGGCTTTTTCAGCAAGCGGG